AGGGTCTCCTTCACGACGTGATCAATATTACTATGTACTTCACTCGGCTTTGCTCAACTCCTTCTCAGTCCTCCTATAACCAAAGTTTGTCACCCCTTGCCATCTAATTTCTATCTTATCATCCACATTGTCATTTCGCCACTCTACCACCGTCTACCAAGTTTTAAGAATCTCCTAACTGTAATAGTCCACTTATTCGCTCACTACCGACTCCAGTTTCATTAAGTCTCATCGTTCACCCAATTACATTGACCTCATTGTATTCAAGCACTTTCGAATTGATCTTCTCTTTCATCGCTCATCATACACTCGCTGGCCAATTCGCCTCCTTCCTAGTTTATGTTGCGACCCATCGGAAATCCAACAGCCACAGTTCAAGTTATACATTTCGAGTTGTTAAACTTCAACGAATTGATTGTGTATGTCTTCTAATGCTTCACAAAATGAATTTTCTGACCATTATAGTTCTCGCCCCTGGCGTATGAATTGTTTTCCATGATGCACAACTACAATGACACAAAACAAAAGCTTACCTTGATTTCCCCTTCGATGTAGATACAATTTCCAAACTGGTTGTCCTTGTATCCAATCGCTGCAAGTTGTGTCAAACCTTAGTCACATCTATTTGTTGAAGAGCAGAAGTCGCCGATTGTCCTGTCGTGTTGTTGGACTCTGAGCTACGAACCAAGGCAGGGCATACGGCATTCTGACTCTGAGACTTAGAGACGACCGGTGTCATCATTGAACCCGCCAAGGAGGATTAGAACGCCGCAAGTTGTGTCAAACCTTAGTCACATCTATTTGTTGAAGAGCAGAAGTCGCCGATTGTCCTGTCGTGTTGTTGGACTCTGAGCTACGAACCAGGGCAGGGCATACGGCATTCTGACTCTGAGACTTAGAGACAACCGCTGTCATCATCGAACCCGCCAAGGAGGATTAGAATCACTTGAACAGTGTAAGTAATTCGAAAACCATCAACCACATACTTCGCCTTCTCAAAACAAGTGCTTTATATTTTTGGTCAATCCAGCTCATGGGTCGTCAAAGGAACCGAGCTGCGCAACTAGCCGCGGGAGTGAAACCATCAAACTTCAAGTCGAAGACTTCACCATCTCATATCAAATACCAGCTACGACGTGAGAAGAAAGGCAGTATAGGACGTCCGTACTACCGATTCCACCGCAAGCGTACCGCTTTGAAGTGTCAACTGGCTCAAGAACTGGGTCTCCCTTTAAACACCAAGTTCATTTTTAGATATGGTCCGGATGATCGAAAGAATATTGATGACGAATTGAAAGATATAGAAATTTACCATGGGACTGTTGTAGTCATCAACAAAGCCGATTTATCCTTGGTTATTGCAATTCGATGCAACCGATTTCGAACTATGGAAGATAGTTTGCGACAACAATTCAATCATACAATCTCAACCGCCTTCCTTCATGCTCGGGCGCGGAACGAATGCAAGATTAACGGATCACATAAAAAGAAAAAAGGTGAAATGGAAGCTGAAGAATATGAATATGAACATGAACAAGTATGTGGTTGGATGGGATGTTGTGGCTGGCGTGGTGGAAGTGATCCAGAAAAATCCTTGGGTCAGTTTTTTCAATTTTCTTCATCATCTTGTCATCACCATTAATTAATGTATCGTTCATCTCATCCACCTTTGATCACTAGGTGCTTACGCCATTAGCGCATTTACCGCAACAACTGTTGGCTGGATGTTGTTTGGCATAGAGTGCATGGCATGTCCCAACACGATGAGGATTTCATGTGCTGGGCGATATTGGCAAGTCATATACGCTTTAGGGTATTCCCAGAGCAACGAGCTGTCAGCACACATT